CGGATTCTGTCCCGGTTGCTCCTCTTCCAGTCCAGCTCTCTGCTGTGGCCCAAGAAGGCAGTGGGGATGGCCCAAGTGCTTGGGCCCTGCACCCTCATGGGAGACCAGGAGGAAGCACCTGGCTCCTGGCTTCGGATCGGCGCAGCACGCCGGCCGTAGCAGCCATTTGGGGGGTGAACCAATGGAAAAAGGAAGACCTTTCTCTCTCTTTCTCTCTCTCTCTCTCTCTCACTGTCTAACTCTGCCTGTCCCCCCCCAAAAAAAAATTGTTGCCAAAGAATAAATAGGAAATTTGTAATTTAGGTGCATTGGGTAGGACAAAAGGAAATTGAGATTTTAATGTAGGGCGCAATAGCCAACCCTAAATTAGGGCACAGTACCCTTCAGAAGATCACACATCCCAGTGACATCCTAGGAAAGGCTTCATTTCAAATACTCTGTTCCAGGGAGGCACTTGGTACAGCAGTTAAGATGCTGTTTGGGACCCCTGCAACCCATCTGGAATGCTGAGGTTCAAGTCCCAGCTGTGATTCCACTCCAGCTTTCTGCTGATATGCACTGTGGGAGGCAGCAGGTGATGGTTCAAGTATTTGGATCCTTGTCTCCTGTGTGGTAGAGCTGGATTGAGTTCCTGACTCCTGGTTTCAACTTGACCCTGCCCTGGCTGTTACACTAGATGGGAACTGTGTCTGTTTTATTTTTTCTATCTCTCTGTCTTTCAAATAGATTATATAAATACTTTTTTCAAGATTTATTTACTTATTTGAAAAGCAGAGTTACAGAGAGGGAGAAGCAAAGGCAGAGAGAGAGAGAGAGAATCATCTTCTGGTTCACTCCCCAAATGGCTATAACGCCCAGGGCTGTGCCAGGCCGAAGCCAGGAGCTTCATCCAGGTCTCCCATGTTGAGGCAGGGACCCAAATACCTGGCTGTTGCTTGCCCAGGTGCATTAACAGGGAGCTGGATTGGAAGTGGAGCAGCCAGGAAACGAACTAGGGCCTGTATGAGATGCTGGCGCCTTAACCCACTGTGCCACAGTGCCAGCCCAATTAAATAAATGTTTTTAAAACTCTGTTCTATGGAGCTCATGAAGCATCAGAGTACTTTAAGGTAGAGCAACTGGGGGAGAAGACAGCAGAAAGAGAAGTTTTGTCTTTAATTGTATACCAATTTGTATTCCCTCAGATGTGAACGATGTTCACGTGTTAACTGCTTCGATAATCCTGAAATTATAATACCATGTCTTCCAAATTACATCTCATAGAACTGGCACAATGGGAAGAAAGTCCATTAGTGTACAATAGGTTTGGGTCCAGTTTGGATCCCCTCAACAAGTCAACCAAAGCAAAGATATATTATATTCCTTTTAGCTTTTCTTTTTGTTTTTATACCTAACTAGAGACAAACCTATAATTTGAACTCACACTCTCCAGTAGTTTGAAATCTTCTGTTTAACAAGAAGACAGTACAGTACAATGGTTAGAACATGACCTAAGACTTAGATGGATGTTGAAATTGTTTCTATAAGTAATTAAATGTAAGACCTTGTCCATATTGCTGAACCACTTGGCTTCTTCATAAAGAAAATTAGATGTTAAAAACCTAAGAGCATTCTTATAAAAAGAATGAATAATACCACGTGCAAAATACTCAGTCTAGTACCTAGCCCATAGTAATCCTTTTCCAGGGTTGTATCTCTAACCATGAAATGGGTCCAGTGGTCAGAGATTTGCTTAGACAAATTCCAGAAGTCTGATTTCTTAATGACAGCCAGCTCTATCAGAAGAATGTACTGGCTTGGGCGACATTCATATAGTTAACAGCTCATGTTCTGGTACAAGCCCAATTCTAGTTTGATCTCTACCCTGAATATCTTGGCAACACACAACAGTGTCCAGACAAGAATCACAACATCCTGTGCTTCACACTGCTGAGGCTACCATTTTGCTTAAATAATAACAACAGCTGAACTCTAAAAGACAGGAATGGGAAACAGCAAAAAAGGGACTCAGTCCACTGCACCTGGCTTTGGAAAACACTTGTGAACTCTGTGTGTTCTGGAAGGCAAAGTATCTGCTCTGGTGCAAAGAACCAGGAAAACAATTTTCTTGCAAATAAACAGATCCCAGGAGATCAATGGTCTGGAAAAATTCCTCTGTGAGACTAACAAGCCCTGAATATAAACAGCGAGCAATTTTTCAGCTAACAGTTGAAATCCATACCCCTACAAATACCACACACACACACACACACACACACTGTACAAGACACATATTTCTCATAGGAGTCACAGTGTGTATCCATCCCTGGCACATTTCACAGATGTTCTGCCCTCTCTATGCAATCCTACCAGCTCTGAAAAAAAAAAATGCTTCTTTCATGCCACTGGATATAGGAAAATTTCTCTCTAGATTTAGAAGTGAAATTCTAAAATATTCACTGTGTCTGTGTTTGTATTGTCTAATTTATGTTAAAATTCTCTATTAGCTATCTACTGTTGAAAAGGCAATGCAGGGAGGCAAAGTTTAATCAGACAAACTCATGTCTTCAAAGGCATTTAGGATCTTACTGGGAAGATAGATTTGCATGTAGAAAAGTCAGTATAAGACAATAAACATTATACTTAACCATTATGAATCTCTTACTCTGGAACAGTGCCTTTACATCCTAATATTTCACATGACCCAATCATTTAGCTATTATGCCTCTTTGGCAGATGTACAAGCTGAGTCTTTTTTTTTTTTTTTTTTTTTGACAGGCAGAGTGGACAGTGAGAGAGAGAGAGACAGAGAGAAAGGTTTTCCTTTGCCGTTGGTTCACCCTACAACGGCCACTGCGCTGCAGCCAGCGCACCGCGCTGATCCGAAGGCAGGAGCCAGGTGCTTCTCCTGGTCTCCCATGGGGTGCAGGGCCCAAGGACTTGGGCCATCCTCCACTGCACTCCCTGGCCACAGCAGAGAGCTGGCCTGGAAGAGGGGCAACCGGGACAGAATCCGGCGCCCCGACCGGGACTAGAACCCGGTGTGCCGGCGCCGCAAGGCGGAGGATTAGCCTAGTGAGCCGCGGCCCGGCCCAAGCTGAGTCTTCTAAGGTTATAGTCAGGAATTGTCCTCAAATCCATTAGCCCTATGATTGCCACTTACATGATGTAAGAATGGTCTATTTTATCTCCATCCATATCTGAACATCAGGTACATTGAAGCTATTTTTGCCTTTTCCATTTGCTGTGTATTGAGGATGTACAGCTCAGGGTTAAAGTCCACATGTAACAAAAGACCCGAGTCTACCACAAAGCCAGGGCACACTCCAGTCTTGGTTGAATGGTTTCCCATGTGCAAAGTCATTATCTAATTAAAGTCATCGGCAAATTTCCCACACTGTTTGCTCTTCCAGAGACCAGCTCCAGGAACTTGCCAATTTTTGCATTGTGCCAAATACCAACATTGTCTTATTCCACTATCGAGTTATTTCTCTCCTCTCTTCCAAGCTCATTCCTAAATTCCTGTGTCCACGAAAACTTCTTGGCCACTCTAGACTCTCCTTGTAGCCACCGGCACTGAACTTTGAATTGGACCATTCACTTACTTAGCATTTCCCCACTCAACATGTCACAATTATATGAAATTTTGTCATTCCAATCCTGTTACAATTTTTTGAAAATATCTGTCTCATCCAACATGACATTATGCCTTACTGATATATTAAGTACAGAGCCCAACACAAATGAATAATTAATATAAACTATTAGTTAAAATTAATATAGTAATTAAAATTAGACTATTAAATTTTTCAGAATCATTTCAACAAATGAAAGGACATTTTGGGCCGGCGCCGCAGCTCACTAGGCTAATCCTCCGCCTTGCGGCGCCGGCACACCGGGTTCTAGTCCCGGTCGGGGCGCCGGATTCTGTCCCGGTTGCCCCTCCCGCATGGGAGACCAGGAAGAAGCACCTGGCTCCCGGCTTCGGATCGGCACAGGGTCGGCCATAGCAGCCATTTGGGGAGTGAACCAATGGAAGGAAGACCTCTCTCTGTCTCTCTCTCTCTGTCTATAACTCCACCTGTCCAAAAAAAAAGGATTATATCTACAAAAAGTACACTGAATCTGTTAAAAAAAACTAATAAAAAGCAAAATTTAAAAAATTTAAAAATTTTTTAAAAAACAGATAAAAGTGCACATTTGTCAAAAAATAACAATTTGAAAAATCTAAACTGAATGGCTTTGGTGATAAGCAAAAACGTTCAATCTTAAATCTACAATATATGTTTTTCATTATTTAATTATAGTATGTATATGATGTATTGTTGAGTGCTTAAAATCAGATTTTTAAAATGATCCTATAAACCTATATTCCCAATATAAAATGACTAACTTTCTAGTCTTCCATCAGCTTTAAATTTAACACAGCATTATAGTATATGTATAGTATGTGTATAATGTGTGTATACATATATATGTACAGTGCATTCTGCCCTTTATTTCCCTGTGACATGCAGAACTGTTTTTATATTTTACTAATCACTTCTATGTCATTGAAAATTTAAGTTCATACAATGTTTTTGCTACTACAAATATCAGTAAAAAGCTTTGTGCATATAACACTCATAATACTGCGTCAACCAAGTTAAACATTTGAAAATCTTCTGATGGAATATGACTCTTTGTGTTAGAAAAGGAGGGAGGGGGAGACGGAGAGAGGGAGAGAGAGAGCAAGACAGAGAGAGACAGACAGAGAGAGACAGAGACAGAGAGAGAGACAGAGAGAGAGGGACAGAGATAGAGACAGAGAGAGACAGAGACAGAGCGACAGAGAGAGAGATACAGAGAGAGAGAGAGGGACAGAAACAGAGACACAGAGAGAGAGCCAGAGCGACAGAGAGAGACAGAGACAGAGAGACAGAGACAGAAGGAGAGAGCGAGACTTAGTGGAAGGGGTGCTGAAACCCAGAATCACCCGAGTCACGGCAGCAGATGTGAGCCCGCCCAGCAGGTGCACTCACCTTCCGCACGCCCACTGCCCTTCTGCCGGCTGTTGCGAAGTGGCAGCACCTCCAGCGACGCGATGCCCGACCGCTCCAGCAGAGTCACGTCCACGGTCAGCCTCCCCACCAGCTGCTGGGGGCGCACGCTGATGACGTGTTCGTACTTCCCCAGCCGTCTCTGCAGCAGTTCCTCATAACTCAGGAAGAAGGCGGCTTTGTCCTTGCTGGGAATCACTAGAGCAGCTCGGAATGTTTCTGTCCCCTCCTCCCTGTGGGAAATTGAAAAGGGACCACGAGTAGGGTTTGGAGCAGGATGAAGTCAGGCTCCCTCAGTCCCCTGGGCCAGTGGCCACACTCCTTACCAGCTTAGCAATGAGTCAACTGGGCAGCAGTGTGAGTCCTTAGGAAGCAAAAATAAAAATTAGGGAAAAGCGCTGTGGCGCAGTGGGTTAACGCCCTGGCATGCAGTGCCGGCATCCCATATGAGTTCCAGTTCAAGTCCCGGCTGCTCTACTTCCCATCCAGCTCTCTGCTATGGCCTGGGAAAGCAGTAGAAAAAGGCCCAGGTCCTTGGGCCCCTGCACCCATGTGGGAGACCCGAAAGAAGCTCCTGGCTCCTGGCTTCAAATCGGCACAGTTCCGGCCATTGTAGCCATCTGGGGAGTGAACCAGTAAATGGAAGATCTCTCTCTCTCTGCCTCTGCCTCTCTGTAAATCTGCCCTTCATAAATAAATCTTTTTAAAAAAATAAAATAAAAATAAAAATTAGTATTGGAAGGAGAAGTAAAGGTATCTACTAGATGGTTACTGTCGCTCCCCGTCTTCGTGGAGGAACGACACAGGACCCTGTGCTGTTCTTTTGTCTGCTCGGCCCTTCCCGGGTTTGCTGCTGGTTCTTCCCGGGTTGGCTACCGACCCTTCCACCTCCGTGGAAGGGCGGTTCCCCCTGCCACTTTCCCCACTTCCGCGGGGGAGCGGCACACCGCCGGCTGGCTCTCTTGGGGGCTGCACAGGTGTTCCTTCAGATAGATGTTCCCTTTAGATGTTCCTGGTGCATGTTGTCTCTCTCCTCCTTTATAGTCCTCTTCCACCAATCCCAACTCTGCTACCCACACGCCGAGTATGCTGCTCTCCTCCAATCAGGAGCAGGTCCTACAGTTTATTGGTTGAACTGGAGGCAGCTGTGTAGAAGCTGTTTCTCCCTTCTCAGCGCCATATTGTGGGAGAGCAGATGCATAGAATAAGTCTTAATTCCAGTAACTTAGTCTAGTCCGAGTTGCTCCCCACAGTTACCAAGAATCAAAGGATAATAAATAGGAGAGGATGCAGACTACTGATTTCATCCACCTCTGCTTGTGACAGCCCCAAAGACCATAACCATATTTGTTCCATGCAACAGGGAAAAGGGACATTTAAGTGGGTAATCTGCTGGAAGAGAGAGCTTTGGAGTCAAGTTGTAAGCTGTGAACTATTTTTCTCTACAGGTATGGCCAAATGAATGCTATAGTTTACATAGTTCTAAAATAGTTAATATATTGGGCTTTTACACCTTGGTAAGGATTGGTAGATGTATTTAGGGAGAAATAAAATGAAGGGTTGTGAAACTTATAGAAACACAAGCCATTCTGAATACTGTCCATACTTGGACTGAGAGTGCTCTAATTTAAGAGGCTAAACTGATCACCAAAGGATTAAATGCAAGGGAGACATGTAGGAGGGGCAACTCTATGTGGGCAACACATTTTCACAAAGTTTCTAGAAGACTTTGGGGGACCAGTAGAGCAAGAACTCTGCATTCAGAACATGCAGGAAGGGGTTGCAGCAAAGGAGAGCATCAAACTATCTGGCAGATGCCACAGGCTCTGAAATCAGTGGGCACCACAAGATGGGAGCAAGCAGGAGAACCAAGAGCAAGCATAGGGGGATTATTCCAAGGTCAAAGATGCATGAATGACTAAGCTGATTAAGATGATTAAGGCTTCCTATAATCCTCTTTCTCAGAACTAAAAAGAGACATGAGTATTGAGATGGAAAAGTTTCACTGAGCGCTGATCAGAATGAATGAAAAAAGATTGACACCAAACCCCATCATTATAAAACTTGAGAATATAAGATAGAGGAAACATGTCAAAGGAATGCTATTAGATCACATTAAATACATCATTAATAATGCTAGATGTTATAAGACACTGAAACAATGTCTCAAAATTCAAAAGGAAAATTTTGACCTTAAATTCCAAATCCAGAAAACTACTAATAAAGATCTAAAAATTACCTCTCACACATTTATTCTGCAAAAGTTACTTCATAATATACTTCAGCAAAGTAAAGGTGAAGACAAAGAAAGAAGAAAATACAGAATATAGGAAATAATAAAATGAACCCAGAAAAAAATGAAAAGAAATCCCAGGCTTAAAGTTCTGTAACAAGTCTGCAAAACAATGACAGCTACTTCGTGGATCTGGAGACATGCAGGTTTTTACATCTCTGAAATCAGAATGTCTCCCAATTTGTCATGTCTTTCAGTTGCTATTGGCCAGGTATTGGGGTGACATGGATGGCATCATTTATCAAAATTTGATCATAGGTGTTTGTTTTGTCATCATTCCAAATGATGTGTATGTCTTACTAGATGCTAATTGTGACAAAATTTAATTTTATCTCACAAAAAAAAAGGAAAAGCTATTAGTAACTAGGAAACACCCCTATCAGGATGGATATTATCAAAAAGACAAGGAATAACAAATTCTGGCAAGGAAATTGAGAAAGGAGAACTCTTATAAACAGCTGGTGGAAATGCAAATCAGTGCAGTCATTATGGAAAACACTGTGATTTCTTCAAAAACTGGAACAGGACTGTTATATGATCCAGCAATCCCACTACTATGCATATACTGAGAAGACATAAACCCATTGTATCAAAGAGATAACTTTTCTACCATATTTACTGCAGTACTGTTCACAATAGCCAAAATATGGATTAAACCAAGATATGCATCATCAGAGGAACGTAAAAAGAAAATGTGGGGGCTGGCACTGTGGCTTAGCGGGTAAAGCCGCCATCTGCAGTGCCAACATCCCATATGACGCCAGTTCGAGCCCCAGCTGCACCACTTCCCATCCAGCTCTCAGCTATGGCCTGGGAAAGCAGTGGAAGATGGCCCACATGCTTGGGCCCCTGCACCAGTGTGGGAGATCTGGAAGAAGCTCCTGGCTTCTGGCTTCAGATCATTGCAGCTCTGGCCATTGTGGCCAATTGGGGAGTGAACCATCAGATGGAAGACTCTCTCTCTCTCTCTCTCTCTCTCTCTCTCCCCTTCCCTTCCCCCTCCCTGCCTCTCTTTCTCTGTGTAACTCTTTCAAATAAATAAATCAATCTTAAAAAAAAAAAACTTTGACTTTTGGTGCATTATCCAAGCACGTTATATGTCTATTCAAACAGAATATAGGCAAGTTAAAAAAAAAAAAAAGAAAATGTGGTATATGTACACAATGGTATGCTATTCAGCCCCAGAGAAGGGATGAAACCCTATCAGTTGCAGCAAACTTGATGGAACTAGAGGACATTGTGTTGGGTGAAATACACAAAAAGATAAACCATCTGTTTTTCCTTTATATTAAAAAAAAAAACTCAATCTTAGCGCAGTGCGCCGGCCACAGCGCGCCAACTGCGGCGGCCATTGGAGGGTGAACCAACAGCAAAGGAAGACCTTTCTCTCTGTCTCTCTCTCTCACTCTCCACTCTGCCTGTAAAAAAAAAAAAAAAAAAAACTCAATCTTAACACAAAATGCTGATTATATTGCTACCTCACAGTTTTTGTTTTATAAATTCAAAACTATTCTGAAATAAAATGTTAAAGAGAGAGAGAGAGAGAAACTCCAGGAAAAATAGAAACTTACATGCTACAACCCAACGAAACTAAATTACCACATGATTCTGAACAACTGGGATAGACTACTTGGGACACACTTATAGTTCAACAAAGACAGACTTTAATAACATGGTGCAGCAAGGGAGACCACATACCAGAGGGACCATGGGGCATCTCACACAACACAGAGAGGGTTATTATGGGATCGGGGCAGGAGCTGAGTGTACATGTTTGGCCAGGCTCAGAGCAAAGCAGGGCCATGTGTAAAACCATTCTTGTCAGGCTGAGCTGAGAACTAGAATCAGGGTTCTGTGTCCTTGGGAATGACAGCATTAAAATAAACGTGGGATTCTGTGTGTGAAAATCACTTACGGGAAGCTCTGATTCTCATTACTTTTTTTCTGTCAAAGTGAACCACGGCTCAGGTCTACCGGGCAAGAATGAGAAGTTCTGGTCTCACTAGCAGGATTTCCCACAGCAGAGTTGCTGACGGTCTATGATTTTAGGGAACCAGCTTTCTCAATCTGTTTACTTTTATTCGTGAATAAAAACAGTGTTACAGGTTCACAGCATTTTATCCAGGTAGTAAGATCACTTTTCTGCAGACAACAGAGTTCTTCATGCATAAAACATGGTATTAGTGTACTAGGTGGCTCTGTAGATAATATTGATCAAGCAGTCACTAAAAAACAGTACCATTTATTGACTTTAAGTGTTGAGATTCAGTTTATAGAGAAAATTTTTAAAATGTAAGTATTGTTACAGATCAGAATTTAGATATTAATAACTCTGACAATTCAAAAATAAATGTTCAGGTAACCAAGGATGAGTACAAGCAAGGAATAAGATACTAAGGATACTCTAAACACTGTTTAATTGTTGGAAGAAGAAATAAAAAGCAATATAAAAATTTGGAATGCAGAGGAAAAATAAGAATATTGTAATTCTGTAAATTTGCTAAATCCTCTACACAACAGAGTCCACAGATGCTTTATTTTTATCAAAAATTCAAGAGAAGGAATGAAGGCCTATCATAGTATTTAGAGTTAGGGAGATAACCATGAAGAAAAAGAAATTGAGAACCATTAAAAGTGGATGAGTCTAGGGAGTCAGAACTGAGGGATACACAGGGTAAAGTTCTTCTTTTCACTGTGAATGTTGATCTATTAATACTGTCAATGGTTATATCACTTAGAAAAAATACAAAGAAGAAAATGCTTGGGGGAGGGGAAAAGAGCCAGATGAGTAGGCAAAGGGGTAGAGAGTTCAGCTCTTAGCCGGAATGGAGCTTTAATTCCTTAACTAAACAGTACTTACCCACTATCTTCCGTGGTTTTATTCCTTTTCTCTTTTACCCTGTCACCATTCTTCTTTTCTCTCTCAGCAATTTCACCCTGATATACCTTGTCTCCAATAAGCCTGAAAAAAAAAAAAAAAAAAACACAAGAGACAGCTGTGTTACCTATTTGCAGTTCCAAGACAAATTCAAACATGGCTCTCATAGCCATGACAACCCTAGAAAATATTTTTCTATGCATCTTGGATGTGCAAAAAGAACACATTCCACACCAGGGCACTACCCTTGAATCACTCGCTTCAATCTAGGGCAATATTCAACAGGTCCAAAGGGGACACCCCAACCCACAGTGCCTGTGATTTTCCATGAGAAAATTGCAAATCTACTAAAACACCATAGTTTCACAGCTTAGTTCTTGCCCAGACCAAAAATTAAACCCAAATATTTATCCTGTTCTGCATCTTTACCTCTTAGAAAAAGAGGAAATAGGGGAGGGTATCTGGTCTAGTGGTTAGGATACTGGTTAAGACCCCTGCATTTCATATTGGAGTACCTGAATTCCAGTCCTGACTCCACTCCTTATTTCAGCTTCCTGCTGATATCAATAACAGGAGGCAGCAGGTAATGATGGCTCACATAGTTGGGTCTCTGCTACCCACATAGTAGACCTGAATTGAGTTCTTATCTCCATTCTTCAAGCTGACCATTGTGGTCATTTAGGGAACAAACCAGCAAATGGAAGCTCTCTCTCTCTCTCTCTCTCTCTCTCGCTCTCGCTCTCGCTCTCTCTCAAATAAAGAAGAGGAAGAGGAGAAAGGTGAGGAGGGAAGAGAAAAAGCATCAAAGCTTTCATGCTGCCTCATTCTTCAGTCTCAGCCATGGCCTCCTCTGAGCTGCCTCCATGATTTCTCGACCCAAAGAAGCCTCTCCATCCTACTTGCTATCTCCATTACATTCACTGTCTGAGATGATCTCATTTATTAGTTTACTTACTTATTGACCATGTCTCCCCACTGGAATTTCTGGAGCAGAGTAATATTGCCCTTTCCATAGAAGTACCTCAATCCTCTTGTAAAGGGCCCATTGTGGACACTCATTTGTTGGAGAGAAGGAAGGAAAAGAGGGAGGAAAGAGGGCAGGCATTTTGCCTAGCAGTGAAGGCACTGGCTAAGACATCCACATTGCATTTCAAGTGCTTGAATCCAACGCCTGGCTCTGGCTTCTGATTCCACCTTCCTGCTGATGCAGAACCCTGGGAGGCAGCAGGTGATGGCTCAAGTACCTGGATCCTTGTCACCCATATGGGAGGACCAGACTGTGTTCCTGGCTCCCAACTTCGGCTGCGCCAGGCATTTGGGGAGTGAATCAACAGATGGGAACATTCCTTTCTCTCTCTCTCTCCCTCTCGTAAATAGATAAATACAAATAGATTTTTTAAAGGAGGAGGAAAAGACATAGGAAGGAAAGAAGAGATCATTGAAAGCAGAAACAAAAGAAGGAAAAGGGGAAAGAGAGGAGGGAGCAAGGAAGGAAGGAGTGAGTCAACCTTCTGATGCATACACCATCCATGGAGAAACAAACACTCAAAAGACTGTGGACCTCACATCCCCTCAGTTTTACCCTGACTACCCCACACAGAAAGCATCTCCCAGCATGTCACCTACATGGTGAAGTTAGTGATGAAAGCCGCAGCTGGAATCTGCATCTGAAACTCCGTTTCGTGATCCTCAGAAGCTCTGTTCAGCATTTTGCAGGAAACCGTAGTGAAGGCATACCGAGAAATAATGGTAGACTTCACCGAGAATTCTGTCATCAAGGGCTTGGTTTTCTGTTGGAATTAAAGCACACAATATTCTCTGTGAGGCATGAAAGCATGGTTCAGACAATTTTGGGTTGGGGAGGTGGGTAAGTGCAGGTCTTTTGTTCACGAAGAAAGCCTTTGGCACCTGATTCCTGTCTCTTCTTTGCCTTGTCCTGATTTCCCAATTTTTCATTCCTTTGACTTGTAAAATCAACTTTGAGTGAACAACCAATTCATGACATAGGAGCAAATATTTAACCTAACTTTAATGAATGAACACAATGAAGATTTTCAATTTAATAGAAAATACACATTGCTTAAATATTCAATAAGTTATATGAATTTAGAAGCAAAGTATGTGGCATGCACAATACGTGTTGTTATCAACTTTTAGATCACATTTACAGGATCACTGAACTAATTGAAATATCAGAATATGCTAAACAAATTCTCTTATGCTCAACTTCACTTCAGTACCCACTTAGATAGACTATACACTAGGGCTTCCCCATCTGAACTACAGATTCATCTGAAACAGGAATCAATACTGAACTCAAGAGTGTATTTGAAGAGATAGATTCTAGGAAAAAGAAAACCCAAGAGTGCGCTAATTAAATTCATCCCAAAATCTTTTATATGAATAGTACTTGATGGTACAAAATTTGAGAATCCAATAAAATTATTCAGTATTATTTTCCCAGCCTATACAATAGTGCTACATCTGACGACAGCATAAACCTCAAGAAAGAAAGAAACATTCGTGAAGAAAGCCACTACTAACCAAGCAATGCTCTGATTCCAGGAACTGGCTAAGCAATTGACAGGCATGTTATGGGTTGACTATGCCCCGCCCCCTACTTCATATGTTGAAGTCCCAATTCCTAATGTGATAATATTTAGAAGTGGGAACCTATAGAGGTAATTAGAGTTACAAAAGATCATGAGAGCAGCGCCATCATAATAGGGAGGTACTAGATAGACAGCTGAGTCTCTCTATGTACTCACACCAAGCAAAGGTCATGGGAGTACACAGCAAGAAAATGACCATCCACAAGCCAGGAAACACGTTTCCACCAGAAACCAAACCCTGCCAAACCTTGATCTTGGACTTTGCAGCCTCCAGAATGGTAAGAAAATTAAATTTCTATTGTTTAGGCATTCAGGTCTATGGTAATTTGTTATGGAAGCTGAAGCAGACTAAGACAAAGCACTAGCCCATTACAGTCTTGGGATAGATACATGAAGTAGACATTTTATTCTGACTTTATAGATGGAAGGAATTCAAGCTCAGTGAGGGTATCTATTGGTTTTGGCCAGCAAGTAATGGAAATGAGAGCTGAATTCAATCCCTCTTGCTCCAAAATTCACTCTCATCACATTATGCAAGACCACCTGGCTGCCCCTTGGGGACAGACTCTACTCATCTTTGCAGGCTCAAATCCCAGCCTGGTCTTTGGCATACAGTAGACCCTCAACAAACAATAAATAGAGCTGATTTACTCTGACAGGATTCTACACTCTCCTGTTTGGTCTGTGGTCTACCAGGGGCAATGTTTATTTCAATACTCCTCTACTTTATTAATTTCCTTTTGGCCTTAGGCTCATTTTCAAAATAGATGCAAGACTATGACCTGCTGATAGCAAGGCACATTGCTTCCTGAAGTAAAAGGTGATCAAAAACCCTGCTTCAAAAGAATGACCAAAGAAGCTTATTCCACCAAAAAATATTTACTCAAAACATTGGACTCAAATCACACTCTGCCCAGAAAACCACAAAAAGCTTAGGAGATATTTTGCAGGGGATATTAGAGAAGTGAATCTAAATATCAAGCAGATCTGAGAATATATTCAAATATTCACAAGAGCATGAGCTGCAAGAATCAGGGCCAAACCTGTGAGAATATCAGAGTTGATCAATACAAAGTGTCAGGACTACTAGTAATTCAAAAAAAAAGCCAGACAAAATAAGGATATATGTCTCTACCACAGAGCTGGAAGAGATAAAAGCATGCAGTTCAGTTAAATAATGATCCAATTTTTTAAATAAATCTGAGCATATTAATATTTGAAAAATTTTTGCCCAAAAGAGGAATCGATACTCTGCAGTTTGGTCTGAGAAGGACATTTTTCAAAGCAGTGGTTCTCAAAGGTGGGGTCCCCAGACCAGCAGCAACCATATCACCCAGAAACTTGTAAAAGATGCAGATTCTTGGACTCTGTCCAAAATCCAGAGAATCAAAAACCTAGAGGAGGGGCCCAACCATCAGTGCTTGAACAGCAAGTGGCTGTGATGTGTGCACAAGTTTCAGAACTGATTCTCAAATCAGTTAATAAGATGGACCTCTTCATACATTTTTCATCTGCCAACTGAGGGCTTAAATAAATCACCACAATGACATCCACTTATGAGATCCATAGACCCAAGGCAGAGCCAAAAGTAAGAATTAAAATCTTAGGGCTTAAGAAATTATTCCTGAATTCAGAAATAATTGGATTGTACAATATTCTTTTATGAAAATCTAGTCTCCTTAGGAGAAAATCTGTCTCCCTGGAAATGATTTGGATTAAAAAGAAGTTCCAGATGGAGTTTAACCAAATGTTTCTGTTAAATGATCTCATTAAAAACACTTAATGCATTTCAGTAAAGACAATAAAGATTAAACTTTCTTTCACAAAAAGAATCCTAAGGTGATTAAAACCATGAATTGAGATGAAATGTTTACTTTATCTGTGCCCTTCCTTGAAACAGAATTCATCCTGTTTCAAATTCATGCATGATTAAATATATCTTTTTTTTTTTTTTTGACAGGCAGAGTGGACAGTGAGAGAGAGAGAGAGAAAGGTCTTCCTTTGCCGTTGGTTCACCCTCCAATGGCCATCGCAGCCGGTGCGCTGCGGCCGGCGCGCTGCGGCCGGCGCACCGCGCTGATCCAAAGGCCAGGTGCTTCTCCTGGTCTCCCATGGGGTGCAGGGCCCAAGCACTTGGGCCATCCTCCACTGCACTCCCGGGCCACAGCAGAGAGCTGGCCTGGAAGAGGGGCAACCAGGACAGAATCTGGCATCCCGACCGGGACTAGAACCCGGTGTGCTGGCGCCTCAAGGCGGAGGATTAGCCTAGTGAGCCGTGGTGCTGGCTAAATATATCTTAAAGGTTTATTTATTTATTTGAAAGGCAGAGTTACAGAGAGAGAGGAAGAGACTCAGAGAGAGACAGACAGAGATCTTTCATCCATGAGTTCACTCCCCAAATGGCCACAATGACTAGGACTAGGAAGGCCAAAGCCAGGAGCCAGGTATTTCATCCAGGTCCCCCCTGTGGGTAACATGGATCTTCTGATGGTTTCTCAGGCACATTAGTAGGTAGCTAGATCAGAAGTAGAGCAGCTAGGATGCACTGATGCTCATATGGGATGTAGTGTCCCAGGAGCTGGCTTAACCCACTGCACCACAGTGCCCCTAAATATGACTTTTAGCTCCAAATCTGCATTCACTTTGATTTCAATAGATACATTGAAAAGTGAATAAGAGTAATGGCTAAAAGAGAAATCCAATGTACTCAGAAAATTCTAGTTTTATCACTTTCCACTTTGTTTGAAATTTAAACTATGTGGGCCAGTGTTGTGGCATAGTGGGTTAAGCAGCTGCCTATAATGCTGGCATCCTGTATGGGTTACAGTTTGTGTCCTGGTTGCTCCACTTTTGATCCAACTCCTGCTAATGGCCTGGAAAAGCAGCAGAAGATGGCCCATGTGCTTGAGCCCCTACCACCTACGTGGAGACCCACAATAAGCTCCAGGCTCCTGGTTTTGGTCTGGCCCAGCCTCTCGACCCCCCATTTTAGCCATTTGGGGAGTGAATCAGTCAGTGGGTGGAAGATCTAGCTCTGTCACTCCCTCTCTCTTTAACTCTACCTTTCAAATAAATAAATAATTTATTTTTTTTAAAATTAAACTAGTTATTTATTTTTTAAAGAAAAGTATATCTCATTTCTTTTTTTAAGATTTATTTTCCTAAAATTCACAATGACAGAGAGATAAAGACAGAGATTTTCTACCATTGGTTCACTCCCCTATTTTATTTCTTTATATTTTTATTTTTGTTTGTCAGTTTCTTGTTGCTGTTGTTGTTTCCATTCTCTTAATTATTTTCATGCTAATGTGATATTAACACAAAAGAATAGATTTAATATAGTTCATAGATGCAATTCTAAAATGCAATGAGAGGGAGAGGGGAGGGAGGGAGGAAGGGAATGTCATTTAACTAGCTTTTATAAAATTACTAAACAATATATGCACAATAAAAACTCCAAATTACACTGAATATAAAATGAAAAGTCAGTCTCCCTAGCACGCTGGATTCACAATCCCGTTCCCCAGAGGTACTATTTCATGGTGTTTGCTATATCCTTCCATAAAGAGAAACTGTCCTGATTTGCATCTCACATGGTCGCTGGTTCGAGTCCTGGCTGCTCCACTTCCAATCCAGCTCTCTGCTAGGCCTGGGAAAGCAACAGAAGATGGCTCAAGTCCTTGGACCCCTGCACATGTGGAAGACCTGGAAGAAGCTCCTGGCTTCTGACTTCGGACCAGTGCAGCTCTGACCATTGCAGCCATCTGGGGAGTGAACCAGCAGATGGAAGACTGACCTCTCTCTCTCTGCCTCTGCCTCTCTGTAACTTTGCCTTTCAAATAAATAAAATAAGTCTTTTTAAAAAAATAAATAAAAGTAAATCTTTTTAAAAAAAATTAGCCAGAAACAAAAAGATAAATACTGGATAATTCCACTTACATGAGGTACCTCAAGTAGTCAAAATTATGGAGAAAAAAGTAGAATGCTGGTTTCCAGGAACTTGAGGTGGGGAGAGAAAGTAGGATTGTAATAGGTATACAATTTCAATATTGCAAGATGAAAGAGTTCTGGAAATGGATGGTGGCAATGGTTGCCCAATGATATTAATGTATTATTGCCACTGAACTTCACTCTCAAAAATGGCTAAGATGGTAGTTATATGTATTTTACCATATTAA